TTGCGTGTTATGCAAGTGCGGAAAGCAGAAGATAAACTTGAGTGGAAGATGACGCACTTGAACTTAGAAGCTACACACGAGTGACTTCAATCCATGCAGCAAGTGCAGCATAAATGCATAGAGACAATGAAAATTAAGTTGCAAAACTTTATGGAAATGCAGCCCGAAGCCAGAAGGACAGCTAGACAGACTGAAAGACTGTCGGACTGACAGACTGAAAGACTGTCGGACTGACAGACTGAAAGACTGACAGTGTGAAAGACTTGGAATGCGAGTCACTGGAATTCCGGGCAGCAAAAGTATATTAAAAATGTTGACAACGAAATCCATCTGTTTAATGGGTCTGCACACAGTGCAGCCACAGGCACAGCCAAGACAAGGCCCAGCCCACATACCACACACCCACCCACCCACACACACACGTGCCTGATTGTGGGTGCTTGTGGTGGGTATTGGGTGTGCGCTTCTAATCCGCAAGATTACAAAAGTGTGCGGCAAAGTTGGAGCTGCAGCCCGAGGGCAACACAATAGCCTCAAACCCAGGAGGAAGGCCCAGCCCAGGGCCAAACTATTACACTTGATAAATTCGAGATTAAAGTGCATTTGCAGTTGAGCCGGGGGCAGAACCGGCTCGGGTCTGGGTCCCTGGCCTGGGTCATCAAATTTATGGCCATACATTTGGCCAGAATTTCTTTTGTATGGGCCCACGCTTAGTGGAGTACTTGGCCGAGTCGTGGGCCCCTTTTAATTATCACACGTAATGACAGCCCCAAATGCAATTGCTAATTAATTGCCCAGGAGGCCGGCCAAAAGCCAAAGAGTCCTGGCCATCGAATAACAGAATTTATGCTCGGCCCATACATTTGCCCGACTTGACATTATTATTCCAACATGTGTGCGCTACGATGCCAGTTTTGACAAATGGGGCTGGAAACTCATCTACGATAGTTCCTTAATGCTGATGGGCTGATGGCCAATGGGGTCGGGGCGAGGGTGGCCAAGGGATCAGTTAAGCTTCCCCGTTCGCGTAATCGCAACGCAATAAAGCTGAAGCCTCAACTTGAACTTGAATGTGATTTGGCTGTTACTTTGATGGTCCGGCGGCTAATGAAGATAATCGTTTGTGCTGTCAAAATTGCCACAAAATATAATTGTGGTAGCTGCTCGAAACGCCGACTCATGATTAACGATGAGAGCGATTCGGCGCTGGGGCTAAGACCAATTGCAAAGTTCAGTTTCTGATAGAACAAACAGAAACAGAGAAAACAAAAAACAAAACAAAATACATACATCTCCAGCAGACACAATGGGATCTTTAAGATACATACTCGTTCGTACGACAGCGGAAACTTCAGTAAAAACAATAACAAAAGATGCCAGCCAAGCGATTACGGGCAATTTAATGAAGTGGCATGGTGTGGGGGAAGGGGGGATGAGTGGGATGGTGGGGTAGTGGGGGAAGGTAACGTCTTTATACGCATTTATACGTTCATAAGCAACAACTGCAAGTGCAGTCCGGCAACAAGCTCAGCGACTCACTTGGGAGCCCAGTCAAGATGTTATCTAAAAAAGCTCCAACGTCAGCCTTTAGAACAGAAACTGAAACTGAAACAGACTCTGAAACAACTGAACAGTTGGCTAGTTAATTTTTTAATGAATCTCGGCAGATATTTGAAATCGGTTTGCTGTCGGTCTCTCGACTTGCGTTTGCAATATTTTTTAGTCGTTTGTCGGCGGGTTTTAAGTGCGCACATAAGACGCGCTTCAGTCTGTCTGCAAAGCATTCAACAAGTTCGCCTGAAAACTCCCCCAAGTCAAGTCGTCGAGTCGCGAGTGCCTGAGTGCAAAAAGCACCCAAGATATCCCAACTTGTACAGTTGTTTGTGTGAAATGATCCCGAGATCCGTGGCCTATTTGGCAGTGCTCTCCTGCTTACTGCTGACTCATCGTTGCGCCCAAGGTTGTTTAGCAAATTGAGATTCGACTCTTAATTGTCTATTTAGTAATTAGTCACTTGTCATTATTTTGAACACGACTTCAATCTCAGCACGCCCACCCCAGCGCGGACTTGGGCTTTTCCAGTTCTTTGGGAATTTTCGTTGAGCTAACGCCAGAAACATAATAACAAAAATATTTCTACCAAAACTTACCCAAAGAGGTGAAGGAACTTGTCATGAGAGCAAATGTCGTTTATATAATTTATAGATTCAATCATTGGCATACAGTTGATTCAGTATGTTCAAAATATGGTTTTCGATTATTAGAAAATACTTCAGCTATTGACATAATAATATAGTTGAATAAGAAATGGAATTGGAATTAATTTTTCACGATTAATATTTCATTCATTCAGACATTTTAAATATTATTAGAAATTATTTCAATCATTGGCATGATAATGTAATTGTTTATTCAGAATATAGTTTTCCAAATGAAAGCTTTGTTTAAAATAAAATTTCGTCTTAATTTCAGTAAGATGTTCTGTAGAAATTCGCTATTTATTTTCCTAAACTTGTCTTAATTAAATAAAGTTTATGTCATAAGCTTTTTATATGGCATATAAAGTGTACGCACATAAAAATTCTTATATATTTCCATTACGCAATTTGGTTAATGTTTTAAAGTATTTAAATGTTTATTATTTATTTATTATTTAATTATTCGCTAATTATTTTGAGAGCTTCCATAAGATGTTGTATCGTAAAGTATCCTATTTTTTATATGTATATAGATCTTACTGGTTTTTTACTTAAAAGGCATTTGAGTCAATGCTGCAGGCTGTAGTAGCTCTCTTAGCTCTATTAATCAAACTGAAAAAATTATATATTGATTTTCCATTTTCAATGGTTTTATGGTATAAAAATCAGAGGCATAAAACTCATAATTAAAATTAAACCACAAAAAAAAAAATATCATTTCATATGTTAGCGGGAAAATATAATATTCTTAGCTCCATATGTTGCAAATCTCTTATATAAAGTATCTAAACCGGTACCATCTCAATCCATCTGTGATAGCGACCCATCTATATAATCTACTTAGTTAGCTGAGCAAACATTGCATACTGAAGTGCAATTAAAAGTGCCTCGTCCACTCGAGAGGAAGTCAACTGTGTATGATTGCGAGAGTTAGACAACGAAAGAGAGAAATATATATATATACACTTAGAGAGAGGGAGAGCGAGAGAAATATCCATAAATAAGTCAGCGTGAGCTAATTGCCCCACTTGGAAATTCTCCCGCCGCGGGCAGCTTGAGATGCGCTCCAGTTGCGCTGATGCTCCTTTTTGGGTGTGGATAGGACTCGGGCGTGGGGGATTGGGAGTCGATGTGTTTGCATAACTTAAATGAAATTTCTATGCTAAATCTAATTTCTATGCTAAACCGAAAACAAACAACGTTTGCTCCGCAACCAGGTCAGTCGACTAAAGTGTCATCCAAGCTGGATTTCGATGACATGGAAAGCGGCAGCAACAGCAACAACCAGACTGGTGTGCCAGTTATAATCGGACAGGGACAGGGCCAGGGCCAGGGGCAGGGGCAGGGACAGGGGCAGGGACAACAGGGCAGCAGCGGCTATGATCCGAGCACCGGACGTGGCGGCGGAGGCAACAGTGGCAATCGGCCAAAGATACACGGCGTGCGTGTTACAGTCGACACGGGCGATGGACAGCAGCAAACGAAAGGTAATTAAATTGGCTCAAAGCAAAGGGCAAATCAAATGAGACTTACACCAAACGAACTACCCAAATAGAGTCCAAGGAGAGCGTCGAAATAACGGACTTGGGTAAACACAAGAAACGTGTGGGCATCCACACAGACATCACGTTCGAGATTACGGCTGAGGGTGACGCAAATGAGACGAGCTCTGCTCAGCAGCCGGGCGAGAAGGGTAAGTGGGCGTTTGCATAACTTTCACCTTCGCCTTTCGCTGCAAGCGGATTCTCACTCACTCACTCTCCCTTGCCAGAGGATGCCAGCGTGCCCATTTACAAGGGTCGTTCGAACCATCGCGACTCCAAGCACAAGTCCCGGAATCCCAGTGATCCCAAGGCTCAGTGGAATCCCAACTACTCCAGCGAGCATCGCGGCTACGAGGGCAGCAACCGCGGCGGCTCCAGATCCAGCCCGGGCGGCTACTATCCCCAGTATTATCCGCAGCATGTCTACACGACCGGCGATGATAGCAGCGGCGGCATTTACCGCAACGGCGAGACCTGGACGCACTACGTCCCAGTCTGGACTACGGAACGTTCGCCCCATGAGCAGAGTCAGCTGCAGCGACAGCCCAGCTGGAAGCCCTGCTACTGCATGTCGTCCTATGGCAACGACTATCGCAGCCGTCGCGATAGCAAGATCAGCAGCAAAGGGGATTTCCCCAGCAGGGGAGTGGTCAAAAGTCGTCCAGTGCACATCGATGGCAAGTTGGAGCGACCCTTCTCCTGAAAAGTTCAATTTGAAGATATTCACAATGCTCAAGTTGTTAACAGAAATAAAGGAAATTCATTTTAATCAATGTCTTTTAATATTAGTCTACTGTCTATATACATATGCAATATATGTAGGTGTAATAGGCAAAAACAAATCAAAGTCCCATTGATTTAGTATTTCCCACACTTTATACCCAAAACATACCCCATTCCTGTTTCGACTATATAATACTCATTCACAGTGAAAACTGGATTCTTGATTCAAATGCATTATCTAATGTTATGGGTGTAACCCCTATTCATATATATTTCAAATTCCAAGTCTCAAATACTTTTATCAGTAGGAGTTCTTTTATACCAACTAAAGTACTTATCGATTTTCCGATTTTTACCGATTTTTGATTGCAACTTATTAAATATTAAATAAATAAAATTTAGATTTCATTGAAGAGAAATTCTCGAAATATCTTAGAGCATCTCATATTTTAGTAATTCCAATGAAATTTGTATGGATTTCAAATAATTTCTGTTTCCGTTCTCGAATTCATAATACAAAATTGATGAATGAATTTCCGAAATAATTCCTTTAGCGCTCTAGCAAGTAGTGCTCAACGACAAGATATCCTCTGTCTATTTAGCACTTAAAACTTTATTCAAGAATAAATTATTCAAATTGCTCCTGTCAGAAGGGAGCGAGTACGAGGTGCCGTCCATGCCGCAAATACAATAAAAAATCTCTATATATGTATTTTAAAATTTCGTTTTTTTTTTTATTATTAACAATTTTATTGAACCGTCTACAACGCGGAAGTAAGAATTTCGATACTACTGGTCATGGTGAGGCAGAGAGAGAGAGATAGAAAGATGAGTCGAGGATGGCGAGTTGCACCTTACGAGTGCACACTGTAGGTGCTCACTTTGCCATTGTCATCGACGGAGGCGGTGGCTGCATTGTAGCCGAACTGCTTGCCATTCACATTGTAGTTCTCGCTCTCGCCGGTGGCCAGATCCTTGTAGTTCTTCACGTGTCCATTGGAGTCAAACTGTGGAGCAGAAGAGCAATGAGTGAGATTTGCACATGGATGCAGGTGACAGGTTGTGGTTACCTCGGATTGGGATGACCACTTGGACTGCTTCTCCCACTGCTTGGTCTGGTAGCCGCTGTTGCCACCGATGCCAGCGCCGAAGTTTCCAGAGCCGGCCAATTGCTGGCCGCTAGTCAGGCCGGAGGACAGACCCAGGCCAAAGTTGTTTTGGGCATTCAGCTGGCTGTTGCTGGAGGCTCCGCCCAGGAGAGAGCCGCCCAGCAATGAGCCTTGGCTGCCGCCCAGCAGGGAGCCGCTCAAGAGGGAGCCGCTGGCGCCGGCATTCAGAGCGCTAGCAGAGTTCAGGGAGCTGGCCGCATTCAAAGAGCTGGCAGAGTTCAGGGAGCTCGCCGAGTTGAAGCCGAAGTTGGAGTTGAAGCCGTTGGAGCCGCCGTACTGCACCTGATTGGCGTTGGCCAGGCCGGCACCGCTGCTGATCGAGCTGCCGCTGGCTGCCTGCTGCTTGGCCGTCTGGTGGGCCTGGTTGATGAGCTGCTGCAGCTGGGAGCTGCCGGCACCGAAGCTGGAGCCGGCGGTCTGGCCGGTGGACAGGAGGGACTGGGCGCCGAAGTTGCTGCCGAAGCCGAGGTTCTGGTTGACCTTGAAGGCGGAGTTGGTGCCGAAGCTGGAGCCGGTCTTCGAGCCGTAGGTGAAGCTAGCCGAGGGCTGCTGGACGATCTGTGGCGCCGAGGCGGTGGTCGTCACCTTGCGCTGGTAGTAGTGCTCGGAGGTGCCAGCGGGCTGGGCGACCTGGATGTACTGGAGTGCGGGCTTCTGCTCCACCACGCGCTCCACATGCTGCACGTACTTCTGGGAGCCGCCGGGCACCGTGTAGACCACCTGCTGCGGTGCGCTGGACACAACGCGCTCGTGGTGCAAGTACTCCACATTTCCGCCACTGGCGACAGGCGCCGAAATGGCCAAAGGTGCCTGCAGATTGCCGGAGAGCAGCGACTCGGAATTGGTAGCACCGACGCCGCCGAAGTTGACCTCAGTGCCGGCATTGTTGGCATCTGCGAACTCCACGTTGCTGCCGACACTGTGAGCGGTGGCGGCGTTGAAGTTGGCGCTGTGGCTAGTCTGGAAGGCGGAGTTCGAGGAGAAGGCGCTGTTCGAGCCGAAGGAAGCCGCGTTCTGAGCTCCAAAAGCGGCCGCATTGTTGGCACCAAAGCCGACACCGCCTCCTAAGCTGGCGCCCAAGCCACCGCTGCCGCTGCCGCTACCGCTGCTGCTGCTCTCCGCGCCCTCGACGGCACCCACCGAGTCGTAGGAGCTCTCCAGGCTGCCCAACGAGGCGCCCACGCCGCAGCTGGCGCAGCCGCCGCCCACCGCCAGATCCGCACTGGCTCCTGCTCCCAAGCTGCCGCTCGAGCCGTACCCACTCGAGCCGTAGGCCTTCCTGCGCGCCGCCTCGATCGCCTGCTGATGGGCGGTGTAGTGCCTGTGGGTGTACGTCTAATTAGACCGCAGCTTCGTCTAATTGGATGAAGATTGTGCACCAACTCTAAGTACGGAACTTGCTGCACAATATTCTTCTAAATAGATTAGTGTGCTCTTTCGAAAATGTCTTGAATTTTGAGTGGGTTAGTACCATGCTGCCAATTGGAAATTTCAATTTTAGCCAAGCATAAAATGAGATCTTCAATTACGCCGCACGGCACTTACCGACTGTGGAAATCGTCCCGTTTGGCTCTAGACATTCGTTACCAAAATAAAAGTTACTCCAAAGGACAGTCTGCCAAGTGGGATCAACTTACCTGTTCTCAAAATCTAAAGAGGATTATAAGAAAGAAACAGCATTATTTTCATTGCATTCCCATGAAATTGATTCTAATTCTAATTGGGAAACTCGAATCTCTTATCTCGGCACATGCCTGCAACGAGGCGTTGCACAATTCCGTGTTGTGTAAAAAGTTCATTCAGAAATGATTCGTAATCATACGTGTCATACGTCAGCCGAAACAGCGACGGAGAGCGAGACACAGAGAGAAAGAGAGAGAGGGGGAGAATATTCCCGAATGATATGTTGTAAGGATCCTTTCTATTTTGCTTTTTGTTCACTTTTAATTGCACTTTGTGGGGCTAAGGGAGCTCTTTACCTGCACAGACCACGCCCAGGCACAGAGCGAGCACCAATATAGATCTCATATTGAGTTTGTTTTTGGTTCTTCGGGAAATGTTTGTCACTGCGTTAAACCGTGCGAGACCCGCGCCTCAGTTTCTACTAATGAACAGCAGCGTTGGGAACGCGCTTTAAAAACCAAACAAGTCGCCCAGACACCCATTGATAACGCCGAGCTCTATTCGGACTTAAGGCAGATCGCTTCTTGACCTAGAGAGCTTGCCATTGGGCAGGCAGCACAGATAACGTGGGCGCTATATACATATGTACATACATATAAGCTATAAATGAATTCAACGAAATTATAATCGGAATTGGTGCAGAAATTTTTAATACTATTTATTTAAATCAGTGATGAAAGTAATTGCGACACAAACACACACACACACATACACACATACGTTCACAGACAGCTGATAGGAATTGTTTTCGTGTCGAAACCTTGAAATCTATATACAGAGCTGCCATGTACAGTTGTGCTCTAATACATGCACAGACCTCTATACCTACATGGACTGTCTCTATATTCAAGTACAAGCCATTGATTAAACCACTTTAGCATTAGAGCATTGACCATGTGAGTATTTACACACTATATACTCCAATGCTCTCTGTGTGCGCTGAAGGAATCTACAATCATCTAAACTGATGCGTATACGAGTCGTATTTTCCTCTGTTATTTGTATACACTGAGAATGGATATATACATATGTATATGTTAGGTAAACTAAGCTAAAGATCGTCACAAACCAAATGCAGCTCAAAAATGTTATAAATATTATAATGAATTATATATATAAGCAATTCAAACAAAAATCCTTTCGAAAGAAGCCCGACAACTAAGCTATTGCAAATCTTTCTATTCTTTCTATTCACACTCAGTCAAAACGTTTCAATAATAATATTTTTAATCCATATTTAGTAAATTCTTAATAAAATAATATTTTGTATTTGTTTGTCTATTAATAAGTTAGAGTTAATATTAAAATGAAGCTAACTTAGGATAAGCACTTGCAGCTGGGGTCTCGGCTTGCTTTTATATAGATATGTATATATTTTCTTTTTTACCTTGCCCTACATGGGTCAGTTCATATTCTAACGAGAGAAGTTTAGACTTACCGGTAATTAAATTATTCAGTTGCATACTGTAGTGTATTATTTTATTGAATCCTATCTAGTGCGAGAGCGCTTAACTTAAATGTATGTAGTATATACTGTGAAGAGATATGCATATGATCCACCTAAATTTCCATGTCTATCAGAAGTGAGAATAGATTATTATGCAGATCATGTATAAACATTCTTTATCCGACAGTGCACGATCCTCGAATCTGATTGATATTGTTTTTTTAGAATTGCTTTGATTCTTTTTCTTTTAGTTTTTGGCTATGCCCCAAAAATTGAATAATGACCCAACAATTAACACCAAAGTATGGAACTGCGAGAGAAATTAGCATAGCCGCCATCCATTGGCTATTTATAGATACAATTATATTCAAGCACAAATCAAGCTGTAAGATTCTGTATTGGGTCTACATGGATCTTTGATTGTATGCATATCATATATTTCAGTGAGGCAGTAGAGTATGCATATCAGACTCTCAAGTATGTTTGAATCTATCAGCCCAATTATTCAGCCAGCGGAAATGTCATAAAATGTCTAAGCTAAACTGTAAACACTTTCAGATGATTTGAAAAATTATTAAACAATTTCGTTGAGTTCGCGTCGCTTGCAGCCAGCGAAGGTTTTTTTGTGATGGGAATCACCTGAGTGGAATTTCATTCCGCTTGGGATACTTTTGCGCATTCGCTTTGAATCGAATTCTCAATGGCACTTCCCGGAATCTGTTTTCGG